GGATGTGTGTGATTGTGTGAAGTAGAGATTGGAGCTGCATCCGTTGGAGTGTGATCGTCACACTTCTGATGGGATTGTTAGTGCATGCACGATGTGGACAAACTTCAAATTGCCTTTGGGGATTACCTCTTCATTGTGACTATGGCAACCAATGTTGTCCGGTGACGTCAGCCAGCGGTAGAGTAAGAAGCGGACAGAGGTTTTCAAGGAAATTATCAGATTTGCCAGCAATCTGAGGATTGCTACAGTCATTAGAGTGACAATTGAGTATCACAAGCACTAAAAAAAAAAAAAGGCATTCCAGGATCGATGGACGACATGTGGGAGCCTGAAGGGCCACCGAGGGACTGCAATCATCATCATCATCATCATCAGTCCTCTGACTAATGGGCATCTGCCCTGTTCACTCACACACACACGTACGTTGTGTGGGCAAATAAATGATCAAAGCGCGTAGTAAAGATACTTCCCATGAACACACTTTTTACCACTATGAATGCACTGGATGCAAAATGCTGTTGCTGCAAAAGGGATTTCTACGGTTACGGTTTGATTCTTCCATCATCTTTCACAAACATAAAATCCAAACCCTGAACAACAATGACTTCTTTCCCTTTTGTGCCAAACAGCTATTCATCAATGTCTCCCCTTTCCCAATGCTGTAACCCCTGACAGAATAGGTTTCACGTTGTGTCAAACACAACAAGCCACATACCAATTAGCTTTAAAGGGCGGTGAATGTGGTCAATATGATCCTCCTGTCATGCTCTGACAGGCCACACACACACACACACACACACACACACACACACACACACACAAACCATCTGCGTCATTGCAAGCTGTTGTTTAATGATCAAGCGGCCCGGTGGCGTGCTGCATCATCGCAAGCAGACTGTAAAGGGAGAAAGGCTCCGCTATGGAGATGAGACGCAGCACACATAATTAGATGAACACGCACACGTCATGAACAGTGGGGACGAGAAGCAGAAATACACCAGGCTATTCTAATATGTGGAGAAATCTGACCAGCCATTCCAACTCCAAGCTTTCTCCCAAAGACGGCCGGAGAAGAGTTTCAAGCTTCTCTCGTTTGATCTCGGACTCATTTCTTTCTGTCAGCAGAAAGAGAAATTCAACCAAAGAAAGCTGAACAAGAGAAGGTGACTCCTGTTCCTTGCTATCGGGTGTAGCAGGTCGCACTACTGCGCATTGCAAACTCAAATGAGGTTCTTAATGCCGTACCAGTCGCAGATACAATAACTTATAGCAAAGGAGCAGCATATCTCTGCAGATATTTTTCAGCATTTCTGCATCAGTACATCTGCTGCTAAGAAAAATTGAACAACACCCCTCTATGGACACAAAAGCTCTGGCAATTTAGTTTGACCTCATATCCCCTGTGTGAGAGATCAGAGGGAGATTGCATTCGTTTCCTACGAAGCTGAACAGTTGGGTGATTTCGTCGATGTGTGAACGGATAACAAGCTCGTTTTGTTCCCCTTCTGAAGGGAGCTTATATCCTCAGAACACTAGCTTCTCAGTCACAAAAGGGCATAAAAACTACAATAGTTAAAAGTATTTTAACACCACACAGAACACTGGAACTAAAAAGTTATAAATATACCCCGATAAGACACCGTTCTGTACAACTCGGCCAAAAAACAGCTTTAAGCAACAAATGAGTCTTTTCTTGACGCCGGCCTATCACATTATCTATATGAACATTGCAATTCAAATATGTCAGGGGTTTTATTCCACCAGCTTAACTATAATTAAGCACAAAGATGACCTCTGCTAAACTGTGTGGGCTGCACGCTGCAAACTCACTGCCAACAATGAATTACATCTCTTCAAGTATCGCTGCACAGAATGAATAAACAATGTACTTTGCCCTCTGGAGAAGTACCCATGAGGTTTGCTGCAGCATGTCACATTGCAATCACATGGCAAGAAAAATATATCTACATGCAACACTGGTGACAGCAAGTGATTTAACCAGACATGTTGACTTCCACAGACTTTACTCTTGAAAGAGACATGCAGTAAAAATAGAGTAAAAAAAAGCCTCACATTGTAACATCCAACGTCTGCAAAATCATTAGAACAAACAAGTGTTGACCATGCTCATTATTTTCATGTCCAAGCACATGATTGTATATTAAGTGAGGTGGCGAAGCATCGCGATTTCAAAAGACTCCAAGAGTGTTCTGCAGTCTCAACAACCCAAGAGTTTCTAAAAATAGAGCTCTTTCAACCAAAGGATCTGTTGCAAAGTGCTCTAGATATTTAAAAAATCACGTGTGTATATATAATCAAGTGTGTGTGTATATATATTTATATATATATATATATAATAAATAAAAACACACACACAGAAAGCAGGAGACTAAAGAGAAGCTAGAAAGAGGGAAGTCTGTGATTATCATTTACACATCTTTCTAAAAAAAACAGTCAGCTTAGCTTTGTAAAAAGGATGGATAAGGCCCCATTTAAACGAGGGCAGAGGAAAAGTGCATTCAGGTTGTGTCAAACTTCCCTTTGTGCTTGTGGTGTGTAATCTGCACTAAGTGAGGCTGTTAACAAATCATAGGTGTGTTTTTGGCATAACGCGAATCAAGCCATGTTCAAAGTTATATCAAAATCGAGATTCCATTCCACATTGAATTGTCACGTGCAGACTCTATTTAACTGAGGTCCCCTGTGTGTGTGTGTGTGTGTGTGTGTGTGTGTGTGTGTGTCATACAGGGACGACCTGTGATGTGAACTTGCCTATGGAAGTGCATCCTGCAGCCTGAATAAAATAACACCAACAAAAAACACTGCACTACCTGCTGCCATGAGAGAGACCACGCCTCGTTTTACCATCGAAACCTGCCGGGCCCGAATGAAAAACATGTTTTCTTTAAAACAATCTCAAAAACTGAATGGGTCAAGCAGTCATTGACATTTTCTCATCTTTACAAAAGATGATGTCTATACACCTCCATCAGAAAAAAGTAACCAGGACAAAGGTTAAAATGTGATACAGCAATGAAATCATTTTACTCCATTGTTATCCAATTCCTGTCAACTTGTTATGATCCATGGCAGGATAATTGTGTTTCACCGAGTTCTCTCTATCTAGCAACGATGGATTTGCTTCCTCGGCAGTGCAGGACTTTTATATCGCTGTGAAATTCAAGGCCAAGAGAGTCAAATGGGAGAGGAGCGAAAAACTGCCCAAAATGCTTTAGGCTCAGAGGGATTAGACAAATCGGTAACAACTCCAATTTGCTGCTGACACAATGTAAGCGAAGGGAGTGAAAACAACGGCGTCGGTCAGCACAGCAACAGAACAGCTTATTTTTTTTTAAAAACACCATTATTGTCACCTTCTGGAGAGGCATTTGCAAATATGTCCTTAGTACACTACACAGGTATTGTGAGGATTAAATAGACTATCTGTCGCTGTACTGGTGTGCAGATTGGGTGCAGCACTGGTTAGTTTATTTTATGGTAAGTCCAACAGTTTCATATTCATCATACAGACATGAAACAAGAATGAATTGTCTCCTATTACTTAATAAGTACAACTTTCATATAAGGGTCATCATAAAAGATAGAGAAAATGCCAAAGAAAGCTTGTGATTACAGTTTTGTATGATGTGGCTGGGAAATGACCAAATAAATTATTCATCGGAAAAATCTGCTGATACGGTCACCTTTCAGTATGGTACCAGGGAAATGTACTGGAGGAGTGGTAATGAGGAAAGAAACAAGACAAGGCAGCCCCACATCATACTTTTTACAGACTTCCACTGAGCTCGAAGTATTTTGGTCCCGATGCTGACAAATATATACATTTTATAATATCTCATATATATATATATATATATATATATATATATATATAAATAAATATGACAAAGCTCCCTTGCTTCGTACATCTTGCTTCTTGTACTTGTACCTTGACCATTTGCTGCTTATGGGACTGGCTTCCCGGTTGAGGAATCTGGTTTACTGACAAGCAAACCACCGGACCTGGGATCCTGTTGCGGTAACAACGCTGCGGAACTTCCTATTTTTTCTACGGGTGTCAGTTAACACACACGCATCAACGGCGCGTTTTCAGAGTTGACATCCTGGAGTTGAAGCTCTTTTTACTCGTCACTCGTTCAGCAGGAAGTGTTGTGGATGGAGAGACAGGGTCTCCTACGGGAAAAAGGGGTTTCCCAAACAGTTTTGGAGCAACCACAGAGGAAAAGACTTGGATTGCTGCCTCTGGTCCACGGCTGTGACATTAAAAGTGAAGATGTTGTCTTTTTAACCGCCACTGTAAACCCTGGCTTGAATTTGCCCACAGGGCACAATAAGCAGAGAGTGGGAAAGCCATTGGCAGGAAGAAAGGGTTTTGCAGCGTACAGACTTTGAAAGCTTAGCTGTGGCATGACACGTCTTTGTAAATATACCCTGGTGGTCACGATCAATCTTAAAACTCAAAATAGTGCAAAAAAAGGAAGCTTTTGATCTCAAACTGCAGCGATTTAACACTATTGAGACTGATCTAGACTCCAAGTTTGAATTTAGGCTACCATCTTTCTTCAGCCTGCTTCTGATAGGAATTATCAGACTGGTACGACCATGTTAAAAATATGGGTGTGCTGTGTAAATGCCCCATGTCTGATCATAGCCAACAGTTACCAGGACTATCTGGGAGCGCACTAATGCCCCCTGATACAGGTAAATATGATGATGAGGAAACACTGCTCATATGGAGACATTTTGGAGGGCTGTTATTTTGAATGTCCTGATATTGTTTGAATAACACTACAGGGAAGCCTGCTACCATTTTAAAGTGAAAATGTTGACTGTAAATCTAATCTTTGATCATTGTATGTACATTTTATTGATTTATTGTTGATAAACTGATCACAAACAATGGCGACTGGAGCAGTGAGGATGAGAACATCCCACCGAGTTACAGCTTGGTTTTGTACTCTGGGCTTGCGTGTGCTTACCCTGAAGTCGATGCCCACAGTGGAGATGAAGCTGCCGGCTAGAAAGGCTCCATCTTTGAAGCGAACCAGCAGGCAGGTCTTCCCAACACCAGAATCCCCCACCAGCATCACCTGAGGGGGACACAGACGGACGAGACATAGTCAGATGTTGAAGTCAAATGTGTGTGTGCCTGTGTGTGTGTGCGTTTGCTTCCCTTTCCCTTCCATCTGACGACAGAAAACTCTCTTTTGTGCCTCTTGATGCGTACAGCATCATCCGATATACGCTCTGATATGGAACTTCAAAAGCGTTGGACTCTCTGGAACACATGACACTGAACTGTGGTGTGTGTGTGTGTGTGTTACAAAAGCCATAGAGGGGCAAAGAGCAGTGGCGTAGACAGGCCCGAAGAGCAGGAGCTGTTGTTAATCAGGGCGCAGAATGAAAGCTTCCATCCGCAGGATGATAATTTGCATATGCTCAACGCATTAGCATCAGAGTCGCACGGACACTTTTTTTATTTCTTTGTGTCGCTGCTCCAAATAATGATTAATTATCAGCTCATTAGTTCGGTTTCAATCATGTCTGGACATAAACAATAAAAAGAGAAAATGTAAGAGTAAATATTTCCCAGTTTTTTGAAAATCAAAAGATCTTTTTTAATGGCAGCAAAAATACGATTTTATAAAAACATTAAAAAAAAAAAAGGTGGGTATTTTTCTTTAGCATTCTACCAAATAAAAGATGGCTATTTAAAGTCCTGAAAATGTGGAGTGTGGAGAACAAGCCAGTTGTTTTGTCATTATGTCCAATGCTACAAAACACAAAACGCCCACTTATCTCATAAATAACAGACCATCTCATTTTGTTATTCTGCTGGATTGTAGTTGTGGTGCACGTAATGCTGCACTTGTTTCAAGCCGTTACCAAACCTTTGCATTTGCAGGCACCTAATATTATATAATACAGTTTTGTGATTGAACAAAACAATCTGCACCAGCATTCATTTTGGGACAATGCAATCAGTGCAAAATAATGGTGAAATTGTACACATGCAAAGGCACATTTATGGAAGAAAATCTCCACCAAGAACCGCAGAGATTAAAATATATGCATAAGAGAGAGAAAACATGCATGCCACATTATAAACATTTCAAAGTCAAAATATAAGACAAATTTGAACGTAAGAGCGTTCGTTTGGTGAGTAAAAAATGTAAAATGCCCACCATGTTAATTAAGCGCAACAAAACAATATTAGCAGAAACTTTCAGTCACTTATTGTCATTACTTTTTTTTTTTACATCAAACTTTGGCATTATCTTTACTTGATCGCAAACGTCCACCAACTGTTCACAAAACTAACGCCCCTTGCTTGAATCATCTTCATTTTCAATGTGCTTAATTCACGGAGACGACTCTGCGAAACGTTTCAACCCTTAAAAAGCGCGAACTGTACGGAGCAGATGTCCTCGCACTAATTGAACGCACGCGCGTGGAACCGCTCACTCAATTAAGCACGCGCTGCCCGCGCTCACCTTGAAGGCGATGTCGTAGAACTCCCCGCTGTTGCTGATGGACGGTCTGCTGGGATAAACCAGTCCGGAAGACGGAGCGGCGGCGGCGGCCAGACCTTTGGCCGTCCTCCCGCCGCCCGGCGACGCCTTGGGGCTCCTGGAGCTCCCTTTGCCTTTCGCCGCCTTCTTCCTGGACATGGCTGCGACGACCCGTTCGGCTGCGAGCGGTTCAGAGGAGGACAGTTTTGAACGAAAGGGCTCCTTTTCCTCGCGGAGTTGTGGTCGAGGCGAAATAAGTTCACCTGTGCGTCAAAATCATGGCTGTGCGTAAAGCGGAGACGGGCAGATACTGGCTCGAGCGCGAAACAGCTGTTGTCCCCGTGGTGCGGCTGGATGACAACGTAAACAGCCCTCGCTCCTCCCTCCCTCGTGCTGTGATGTTGGGAGCGCGTGGAGGCTTGATGGTTTCAGTGGGTTTCTATGGGGAAAGTCCACCCTAAACCGGAAATGATGTACTTTTCTAACAATGTTGACTCCCAAAAATAATTGCTGTCCCTTCTAAGCTTGGAACGACAGACGGATGAGGGAACATTTCTGATGCCACAGTTGTGATCATGATGATCAACGATTCGTAGACACTGTTTTAATTACTCTTGTTCCAAATAGTTATTAGCTGAATCACCATAATGGTTTTATAATGACATGTCTGCCATCTGGTATTTACATCTCCATCACTGCTCAATCCTTTAAGTAAAAACTCAGTTATACAGTGTAATATAAATCAAATGTAAATTGTTATTTTAGGGTGGATTTTTCTTTTAAAAGCTCAGGCTTGTGCGCCCGCTTGTATTGGGAAACTGACATTTTGAAATTAAATGATCCATTACTCTGGTCCCCAAATTTTCAGACTGCCCCCTCGGGCCGTTTGGGTAACGCTGGACAAGTACACCAGCCGTTCAGTAGACGTACTGTAAAATTAGGACCTTTTTAGAGCAGTCCGGAGTGTGTCTGGACAGGTCAGCCTCCGGGTTTCTGTTTTACACCGTAAATGGACTACTTGTAGCGCTGATCTAGTCTGCAACGTGATTTTAACACTCAATGCCATTTACGCATTCATACGCTGCTTGCCTGGCCCCTCTTGCAATTCGGGGTCAGGTGTCTTACCCCGACACATCGGGATGGACTAGATCTGACCGCTATTGTTCTGATTGAGGGATGACCCACTCTACGTTGTGAGCCACAGTTGTCATTGAAGAATGTGGAATTCGAAGTTGCTCTCAAAACTAATAATATCCTCAATCAAATTAACCCAGAAAAAAAAGTCAGTTGTGAAGGTACATGTATTAAGTTAGACATGGCCACAGGCCAAGTACTGCTACCATGGGAGTCAAAGTATAAGAAAGCCTGATGACACATTTGTGCTGATGAAAAACAGGAAAAAATTATGACGCAGGCAAACTTCCCTTTTTTTACATCTTGTCAGGCCAAATTTGCACCTTTTTTTTCCGAGAGAGAGAAAACAAGTCTATTTTACTCATTTTTACAAGACAAGTGTAAAATGCATTAAATTGTCTTAAACAAAACATCAAGAATAGAGCCAAAAAATGACATTGATCAAAAGGCACACTTCTATTTCATTCTGCAGGTATTTGCAGGATACGAGGCTGGAGTACCCAGAGAAAACACACGCATCTGTTGCATATTAACATCTCTCATGGCAAATTCCAGGCTTCACATCAATAGGTAACATCTGTTACTTCTTCTTCTATACTTCTGTCATGACATGGAACGTTTTTTGGAAGTATTTTTTTTTTCACCATTATTGGGTGACTCAACCTTCACCTCACTGTGGTACAAGGGTGAAGACTAGGTGGCCAGAAACAGAAACATGACCTCCATGTGGATACGAAATGTTCTAAATCCGTGAGTCAAACTTTAAAAGCGTGAACTGTAGGGAGAAGATGTCCTCGCGTAGATGTTTACTGGCTATCAGTAGCTAGTAAACAAGGGGAAGGCTGAGCAGGAAGTTACGCATTTCGTGCAAACAATGGCAACAGTGCCCTCAGACGTAACGGTGTAACAGAAGGTAGGACGCTGTCTATCTGGACGGCGTTATCAGCGGTGACCCCCGTCTGCGGTGCAGAACGGTGGCTGTGAGCAGGCCGGAGGGGCGGGTTTACTCACACTGAAAAAGAAAAAGGCTCTGCATGCTGACTATGTAAACGAAACCCAGAGCAGCTTCGATTACAACACATACAGAGGGCGTGTGCTCTAATAACCCACATTGTTCCTCTGGACAGAGAGAGACCGCCAATGCCATCTAATGGAGCTGGTATCTAGTGGCCATTAGAGGATCTGCACTCCACTGTGCAACCATTGAGGAGCAGCTTGGAGAGTGAAAACACGCTCCTAATCTTTCAGCTCGCAGACAGTCCTTGTTCTGCATCAACTGTGACGATGCGCACACTACGCGGCGCTTTATGTAACCGTGAACAGAGGGATGGCCTGCTGACTCACTGGAGCGTCTTCTTCTCCTGCAACATCCCTCTTTTAGTTCGAAGCCTCCACACCTGAAAGCTGCCCAACTGGAAGGCTTCTGATGTGATTCATTTACTCACAGGGAGGGAATCAAACCGACAACCCATACCGTTTTTTGGTCTTAACCTGTCTTTGAGCACTGCTGCCGCCCACAATTTTCCAGGTTATATCACAGGACCCCGGGGAATGAAGAGCGAGGCAAACTGGAGCTGTAGTCATGAGACAGGCGCCTGTCCCTGCTGACACAACAGGAGCGCAACCGACGGCCGCGCGATCCGTAAGTCAACCGTCAAAGTCGCACGAGACATCAAGAAAAGCTGAAGAAAAAAGGGGGCTTCTGGAAGGTGGTCCGCGGTCCGAAGGTGGGGAGCACAGGATGCTGGAGCTGTGATGAGGAGACTTAAAAACGTCCATGCTGTGCGAGTCCCACCGAGGACCACTGACCAAACGCTGATGATGACGAACGTACCTCGCCACATCTAATTACTCTTTTAACCATTTTTCACAGTACATGTCTGGACAGAAACAATCGTAGAGCCGTTTAGTACTGAATAAATTAACACGTTATTAAGAAGTGATCCCGTATGGAGGATCTAATGACATCTAGTGGTGAGTTCACTTATTGCAACCAACTGAAGCTTCTCCCGTGTGGCTGTTTATGTGGTTTGTCCACTGTGAGCTACTGTAGAAACATGGCCTTGTTATCTAGTGATAATACACTATAGAAACCATAAGTATTAATATGATATTCCAGCTCGGCCAATAAATCCCTTCTTGATGCTACATGCAGTTTTATGTGGAGCAATAACAACATAAAAAGTCATTGTGAATCAACTGTGAGGATGATGTGGCACATGACAGGAAGTAGGCAACAAGTAGAAGCATCCACATTTAAGCTGCACCGCACCTACTAAACAATAGGGACAAGATTCAGGCTACTCCTCGGAAAATATCTTCGATAGGTGGGAAGAATTCAAAGCCCCAAACCGGCTTGACAGGCGAGGGTCTGGGAAGGCTTGGTTGAATTAAGATAATTGTTTCATTTAACTTCCATACACATTACTTCTTTTTTTATTGTTATGAGGGACAAAGATTTAAGGCTGCTACTGGAACATACACGGTACCCAACTCTAACTTTAAGAAAGTATTCAAGAATGTGGATGCAGGGGTGAAGCATAAAGCCCAGATAGCATGAATTATCTGGGGAACTGCGCTATCTAGTGGCCTCCCACCATTGCTACTCCATGTTAATGTGGACAATATGGATATATCTGCTCAACATTGGGGGTTTTTCTTCATAAAGTTGTTGAAAACAGTTTATACGTATCGAATTTCTCGAATCATAATTTAAATGAGGTTTTGTCAAATATACACACAGACTGTATTTCATTAAGAAAGATTTACTTGTGCTGATGTGGTAATTAAAGACTGTTTGGCATAAGTAGTTCCCGCGTAAAGCCATTCCAGAGACAATTAAAAATATCAAGAGCTTGACAGGCATCAAAAAGTTAAACATGGAAATATGAATTTCGACCAATAATTCTTCAAGAAAATGGACCAACTAGAATGACATTTTCAGCATCACAGAGATGAACAGCAACAACATAATAATATTATAAAATGAAGCTGTTTTCTATGGAAATAAAATCTGCACTGAACAATTCTGCATCATCGAAATTTAAATACACACATTGTGTTGTGAGATACAAGAACTTCATTCGAGACTCATAGAATCAATCTCACAGATTTATTCCGTCAATGAAACCTTAAAAAGAATCACATCGCTTCCGAGAACCTTCCAGGTTTTATGAAGCAGTTCTCGTCCTTGACGGCATCCTTGGTCGTTTGAACCCACGTTCCACACCGGAAGCAGCGTTCCGACAATGACCTGAGCTGACCTCTCTCCCCCAACCGGACCCCCGCGGGGCTCCGATTTGACCCGGATACCCTCGTCGGGCATCACTTCTCCTCCCGCCCGCTCCCTGCTATGTGTGGGTGGGGCCAGCTCCGGGACTTGAAGTAGCCCCTGAGTCCTTCCAGGTCCACGGGGGGGAAGTAGGCCCCGATGCGTTTTCTCAGCCACCACTTCCCCTGAGCTGCGCTGGCGCTGCCCGGCTGGCTGAACTTGTACAGGAAATGTTCCCCTCGAACCCACCTGAGAAGGAGGAGGACACGGAGAAGAGTGACGTGATGCTAGAGGTATTTTAACTGTCTGCAGCTTAACATAAAAGCCCAGAATAAGCCACACAAGGTTTCCTCTTTGTCGTGGTGTTGTTCACAATGAGCAGTTTTTGACCTGATATGCTTGCAGACATGTCTGTTTACCGCTTTGGACCAATTCCTTCATTATTAATATTCTTCTTGAGCCTCACCAACATTCACGGGTTAATGCAATTGAACTTCTTATAAACTTTTAAGTCTATGAACACACCGTACAAACATTGTTTTGAAGCTATTTTTTTTCAATGAAAAGGAAAATGGCCATTTATTCCTCTCGTGGCCAAAATAAGTACCACAACCAATACAAGATCCTGACAACAACAACGAAATGCACGTTAAGTTTAAGTTATACAACGTTTTCACAGATGGAGAAAAATGACTTAAACCAAACTTGCTCACTCTCCTTTCAGGGCTTCTGCATATTATTACACCGATTATATTTGTAACTACTGTCATCACAAATGACTGTCGTCATTGCTTCCCTGGAGCACAGAGAGAGAGAGAGAGTGCTCATGGGTTTGTAAGCTAATATTTAAAGAGATATATTTATGTAACCAGAGCTTGACCATTAATGAACAAATGGGTTTGTTTGGTGAGGTGGATGTCTTCATAGAGTGCTTTGTGCTCTAAAAGTTGCCTCGTTCCGTAAAGGCTGGCGCATGCTTCTGCGTCTTTATGCGCAGCTGTGTCGACGCACTCGTTTCAAGTCATGGTTCTAAAAGTCTTGCATGTGTTGCAGAGCAATTCACCGCCAGAACAACAGGTGGAGTAATGTTTTTTTTCTCATTTTTCACATCTTGTGTGTGCAAGTTGTTGGTTTGTTTATTTATTTATTATCATAGACTTTATTGCCCCGTGCATCGCCACTGTTGCTTTTCATCACAGACACATTTGTCCCGTATTTTCCTCCACAACTTTGTACAAACCGACGTTTGCGGAAATCTCCCTCCATGAATCGGTGACCATCCACGCATCCTTGTAGTCCGCCAATGACGGGTAGTATAAGCGGTCATATTTACGCATTTCTTCCGACAAAAGTTCTTCAATCTGATCCGTTCTCTCGTCAAAAATCTTCGTTTTAATAATGGCGGTATTGTGCTATGAAAACAGAAATGTGAGACTCCGTAAAGGATGTAGTTAGCCGACCAATCGCAGCCTTGCGCGCTGCGTGAGGCTTGCGTAGCTTTTGACGCAAGCCTAGAAAAATGGGTCGACGCACGCAAGGACGCAAGGAGGTGTGAAACGGCACGCAAGGGGCTCTTGCGTCTGCGTGTCCTTGCGTCTCTCTGAAAACGCAGAAGCGTAAACTTGGCTTAACCCTGCGGAGGGATCTTTACCTGGGAGTCTCCCTGCCCTGAAAGGGGTTGTGGTCGAGCAGCGAGAGGACTGCGCTGTCGTTGGACAGCAGACGCCCCGCTATGTGGATCACCCACTCGCTCTGCTCGTAGGTCTGTGGGGAAACAGGACGTGTTAAAGGAGAGGAGATAGAGACAGAGATGGAGACTGACCCTTTATTTCATTGAGGTTAGTACATGAAACTACTGCCTCCTAGTGGCTTGTTTGCCGTAATGCCACTTAGGATGGTAAACCAGCTGCACTCTCCTATCGGAATATAAGAGGCAACAAGAAACACTTGCCAAGCGACCATGGGTTTTTTTGGGGGGGGGGGGGGGCTGGTGGTGCACTTCACTCCTTACAAAATGTCTCGCACCCTCTCCCCTGGAAGGCAGCAAACCACATGAGCCAGTCCAGCCGGTAGTGGTATGGTGATATGAGGCAGGGCCTTCGGTGGAGGTCCCCTGGCTTACACAGGAACTGGTACTCCTCCCACAGCGCCTGCGGGTCCTTGGGATCCTGGCTGAGTGTGCCCTGGAAAATCACCTCGGTACGCTCCTTGGTAATGCTGGACAGAGGTCAGGGGAGGAGTAGAGGTCAACTTTTTTGTTTTTTTGATAACTGAAACATTATGTGAACCATTCCTCTGAGAGCATTAAAGGCCTCACACTGAGACGTGGTCTCAGCTGCTTCTCCGGCTGTACCTGCCAAAGGCCCCGTAGGTGTTGACGATGCGCAGCGGGTCGAAAGAGGTGTTCATCACCTGCTTGGAACTGAGCAGGTTCATCACCACGGGAACACTCAGGCAGCCAATCAGAAGCCCCAAAGAAATGTTCACCGCCCGGCGCATCAACATACCTGTAATGCAAGCATTACGTCAGCCCCCGACACACACACACACACACACACAAACGCACGCGCACGCACACGCACACCTGTCTTCATTCTGTCTCAGCAGTTTGTTTCCTTGTTCAACGACTTTTAGAGAAAATCTTGTGTTTCCAATCCAGGGGAAAAACGGCAATTACAGCTGACACCAAGGTGACATATTTGTTAGTGTCTGGCTGGTTTGTGTGCATGAACATAATTACTGCTTTTAAGCATGTCAGTCTAGGTGTGTGTGTATGCAAGAACTTTGACAATTCCTGGGTGGAAGTGGATCCTCCAGTCCGTCCACGGGACGGCTGGTAGAGACAAACCTTGGCTGAGCCCTGCTTGTCCCAGGCATGTGGAGTACATCATAATCACACTAAAACCCTGTCACTAAATGCTCAAATGGTTGAACGCACCAGGCAGAAGCCCATTTCAGATTCAACGTCCTATGATGGAGCAAAGACACTCATGGGTCCAATCAGATTTTAAGGCGTCTGTATTGTAAAAATGGATTAATCACAGATTAATCCATTTTCTTCCCATAATTCCCTGTTTCTTTAAAAATTCCTTCGCTCTCTTATCCATTAGCATCAATACCGACATGTTCTACAAGAGTCCAAGAGAAAAATTTATTATTTTACAATAGCATTGAGTATATGTATAATTTCTGAATCTGGGGTGATGTGACAGACAACAAACAGATCTTATCGTACCTCCCGAAAGGCACTAAAAGATTTCCTCTAAGCCAGGTTAACTCTGATAATATGGATGACGTCATGTTTCAAGAATGAATGAACCTTCATAACATGTCACATCGATTGACAGATGACCGGTCGATCACAGTTACAGTTCAAATTAAAATAATCATCAATACACAGGCGCTCGAAAAACAACATGGATGGACTTTCCCGGTCTCAGATTTGCACCAGCTGTCATTGTGACTCACTCGTTGGAGAGTCTACTGAATCAGGCGACAATTTTCTAAACGCACTACATTTCTCTACTTTTCAGACACCTGTCGGTGTGGAATCAGAACAATCGCCTTCGCAGAACATTTCCCCCATTTGAGAGTTTGCCTTCTCACCTGTTAGTTCTTTCTGGTGATCGGTTACTTGTTTGTGTAATCGTGTGACTTTGCTGAATTTGACCTAATTAACCCTTTAAAACGCTTGATGCAGCAACAGAGTAGCAAAATCACTTTTTTTGTCAGAGGAGTCTGGAGGCTCTAGTGGTGACACAGCGTGGACCCTAACCCTGTCCTAAAGGGCTGTCAGATTTCCGTGCTGGTGGGAGGTTGATGACCGGCATCCACTTCAGGTAACTATTAGGAGTATTGAAACATACCCCAAACCCCCGGAGCTATCCCTTCAACCCGCCACTCAGCCTTCAGAGTTTTTGTAAATACCTTTGGTGGGTTTGGCGGTCCGTCCGGCTGAGTCCTCATTCTGGATCTCGAGCACCGTCTTCTTGGCTCCTCCTCGAGAGTAAAACAAGAAGGCCAGCGACGCGTCATCAAAACAGGCCAGGCTGGGAACGATGGTCAGCCAGTTGAGGAAACTGAGGTTCCCACTCACTATCAGAACCACCTGTAGCACGAGACAGGAAAGACACACAGGAGACAAAACTTACTTTCAGTCATGCAAAATCGACTAACGTTAAATCTCGTTTGATCAGCTGTAATCAATATGTATATTATATTAAGCCCCCCCGAGGGACGCTTACCTGGAACAGGATCTGGGTTGCTCCGTTGAACATGCACATCCTCCGGCCCAAGAAAGTGAAGAGCGGGAAGATGAGCTCGACGAGGTGGTTGGAGAGCGTCTCCAGGCGGTGAAACCACCACGGCGAGCGATGCATGTAGTAGGACATGGGGTTGGGAACTGGCTGGGTCTGGGAAACGGGGGGAAATACAAAACCCAGATTATAAAGTGCTTTGCAGCCAGCGAGTGTCTGAAAGTGGGCGGTTTGTTGACATCACGTCCTTCGATCAATGGATTTTAGTTTATTTGCATTTATGCAAAACCTTTTAGGAAACCTTTTATAAAACGTAGACTTCTTCTAATGCCTAATAATGGATACTTTCTGAGCTTTGAGTCCAGGATGGAAAGAGGAAACATTTTCACGTCTAAATAAAAGGTGGAACTTTATTTAAATGAAGGCAACCTCAACTACACTCACAAAAAGAAAGAAAAAACACTCGCACAGAACTGTGCAGTGTTCGTGTAGGTATGATTAAGTGTGTGTGTGAGACGTGTAATAGCTGGACATGCAAATAGTGTCAGGTGAGCTGGTAAAAATAAAGGCTGCACAGAAATAGGTGGTGGGGGAAAGAAAACAAGACTTTGGAGCACTAGTCTATACTCTTGTTGTTTTTTTGTGGAATGGAAGAAAAATAAATGGAAGGGAGGGGGGGGCAAGGAGCCTGCAACCTCAGATGACCAAACAACCCCCCACCTGGTCTGCGAGCTGGCTGCATTACGACAAACAAAACGCCGCCTGTGCTGGAGCACACGCGTGCAAGAGGGGATCTGAATGAGAGCAGTGTGGTCAGAAGGGGGTTAATGACGCCTCACCTGGCGCCAGAGACTTCCGGCGCCGTGTGTGTGTTCACGTGTCTGTGTGTGTGCGTGTGCATAAATCCCCCGTGGCCGTTGACAGTTGAGGTTGGAGCAGGTCAGAGGAAAAACGACCCAGCATGGAATGAGTCCAAAATGAAATACGACTTGTCAGGCGACAACATTTTCTTAACGCACTACATTTCTCTACTTTTCAGACACCTGTCGGCGTGGAATCAGAACAATCGCCTTCGCAGAACATTTCCCCCCTTTTCAGAGTACATTTCATTGCAGAACACACTACTCGGCCGTCGCAGCAAACTACGCCCCACCAACAAGTGTTGGTCAGGTTAGGAATGAAATCTCGGGGAAATGTACTGGTTGCGTAGCAACTAGCGGCGCCTTGGAACTGTCGCAGTAATTAGGTTGGTCTATGCTAGCAAGTTAGCATGTTAGCGCTTTCAGTATATGGCCGTAAGTCATCAACAGGCCCAGTCAATTGAAAGTGAACCATGATACAGTTGAGAACACCTCCGGTAGTTTTTATTCCCGATATTAAATCGACTACACGCACGGTGGTGAATCTACATTCAGAGAGCTACCAAAACATCATTCCCCCTGTCCAGTCCATTTCATCCCATTATTATCTGAGAGGACAGAGACAGAGTTTGGTATTTTACAAGAAATAGAGACAATGAATAAGGGTAGTGTACATATTAGCGTAGATCTAATCAATATTCGTCCATGAATGTTTGGCAGATGACAATGTCTACTGTTAATGTAAGACTCTTAGGTGTAGCCTGTGGCGATGAACATAGAACATGATGATTGAAGTTGTTTATGGCGCATTCTGGTTTTCAGCAAATTGTTTTAGTTTCGCAGCCCACGACTTTTTGCTTTGGTGGAGTCTCACCGCTCTCATCTGTGTAGTTTCTGGCAGCGGCGGTTTTCAGCAAAAAGAGAAAACGCTCCTTTGCCAACTGATAAGTTGACCACTGGCCAGTTAAATAGTAGAGGCGCTCTCAGTGATTGCAATTCTGGGGCAAACCGCGGCTAAAGAGAGAACCCAACACAGTTATTAATAACCATTCTGTACACGCACCTCGTAGTGGTAGTCCATGCAAGTGAGATCCCTCCAGCATTTGTCGCCTCGGATTTTTATGAGACCCTGAAAAACACCGAAAACATTTATGGTTCACGAGTTCTGTTGCAAATCAAGTCAAATAAGCAACCATTACCAACCTATTAGAAGCTCACATTGCTTTCACTCGAATCCCCTCAACCATCCAAAAGGAATAAAACCTGATTAGGATTCAACTTCGCCCAGCTGGTGCTATGAATGCGTCGACCTCCGCCAACTCATACCCAGCCGTGCTCTGGCACTGTTATCCAAGGAAGGAAGATGAAGGAGGCATGGTCCTTTGTAGAACCCAGCACCAGAAGATGGTTTGTTTGGGGCCATTGGCCGTGGTGGTCCATGAGAGAGGGAGGGACTTTGCCTCTCTATAGCAGAGGGTGTTGTTACTATAGAAACAGTCCCCTCGTGACAGTGCACGGTTAGCAGGGTACCATAGCAGCCTTTATCAGACGGGCCGTTATATTCTTCGGTAAGCTTTTCTTTCTCATCGTACTCGGATTACCTGCTCAATACAAAGTGGACAGATCACTTAAAAGACCAAATCTAAAAGGACAAATGGGATTGGCTTGATGACTTGCTCTGGCCTTCCAACGTTCAGCAGCACAGAGAGCTACACAGACCGGCTACTAGCCCTAACTAAACCACACACACACACACACACACACACTAAAATTGCTCCCATACTTTGGGAAACACAGAATGTATCCTCGGCACCAAGCTTGTTTTTCAGCAAGTGAACTAAATAAAGCGACCCAGGACACGAGACTGTCAATATTGACACATCAGCCGGCCACATGGAATGCGGAATAAATCAACGGCTAACTTCTCTAACCAGATTTACAGAAACCAGGACATTTCACTCTGATTGTGAGCTTCGCTGTTGACTGCAGCTGCTGGCGTGTTGGGTTAGATGTTGCTGATAATCCAATTCAGTCATGAGACCCTGAAATGTCAACAATTACAAGATGACGGGTCTCTGACCTGACAAAAACCCAGACGAGAGATAGTGATGTAGATTTAATCAAAAACGTACATACATCTAAATACATATAAACCGGTGGCTAGAGGAATAAAAAGGTAAATACTCAATGTTTATCACTAAAAGAGGCTGTGACAGGCATCAGCATGACGTACCAATAAGTCACAGTGAGAATTGAACTTTAGCTAAAAAAGGAACATTGGTCTTTCAAAACAAGTTCTGTCCTCCAGGTGAACAGAGACTTCGGGAAAGAAAATCCACGAGCAATATATATATCCATCCATCCATCCATCCATTGTCAAACCGCTTATCCTGCACACAGGGTCGCGGGGGGGCTGGAGTCCATCCCAGCCAACTTCGGGCGATGCAATATATATATATGAAATATGAAAAATATGGTGTTAAGCTTAACATATGGTCAGAGGATAGATTTTTCTACATGGCCGCCACATGTTAGAAATGATTAGGTTGGGGCGACCTGTTGTACCAATACCCTGGGTGTGTGTGTGTGTGTTACAGCTGATTAAGCCTCCTAAGAGGTGGTGATTTATCTACGTTAGCAGTTTATTATCAAAGGTAACCAAGGAAACATTAAATTCCTTTGATTTGAAACTAATGGGACACTTTTCCACAGCAACTCTCTCATGTTTATTTCCCCATTTGTGTTGATTGAGTACTACAAATGGAAATGCTGTCACAAAATATCAATGTACCGTGATGTCGGGAAAGAAGGAGCATCACCTCACAGATTAGAGATCAAAAGCGTGTGACAATTTGTGACATTTCTTCGAGCCACTTCAAAAAAAACACTCAACGGACATGACGGGTGTGCTCATACACCCCATCTACCTCCCATTTCCTGCGAGGGAGGGGTCCTTTGAATTGTTGTCCTCACTAGCAGAAACTCTGTGATACTGACGGATTGTTGGTGCCCCTCTGTCCCGGGGAGCGATGCATGAGACCAGGGCGGATCAAACACTGAGGGGCCGCGCTGTACTTCACGCTGTTGAGCTGCTACACTAATTCACTGTGACCGAGTCTCAGCTCCACCTCGTCCCATAAAACTTTGTCTCTCCCCCCGCATGTAATCAGGAGTGGATTTGTAGAAAAAAAGCTGTTTCTAGGAACATTGCAGTCGGGTTTGCACAAAACACAAAAGTCACGGAGTCGAGTAGCCACGAGGAAATCACATTGGTTCCCTTTGAATATTGTGTGACGTCGGAATACGATTTCCTGAAAAGCTTCAGAATGTCTAAAATTTTTACAAGCACTCAAAAGCGGCATTATTACAAAAATAAATGTTTTAATCTCAACGTGGGATTGCCAGATCTAGATTATTCGTTAAATCTAATGATTGGGTCCAATTAGGCAGAGAGTTACTGGAGTGAATTCTTGAAATCTTTTGCAAAATCAACACATTCTGTTGCTGTCAATGGCAATCAACCTTCACAATTTAACACAAGCAGAACTTGCGTTGTAATGTGATAACTAGTCAAAAAGAAAGTGTAATATTCAACAGCTATCAGTAAATGCACAAGAGGAGATTAAATTGGAGGCTTTCTAACTATCCCCTTGTATTTCAGGTCTCTTTGTGGTCCTTGTAGGAAAAACCCAGCTGGATTTGTGGCAACTGCAGTGATTGGCAGGTCAAACTGAGTTGGTGGTCTCAAATTCACTATGGAAACTGTCAAACAACCAGACATGTTGTTTAGCCAAGCATATATTTGGGTTGGATTTTTAAATACTGGCAGTGTTCTATAGCAAAGGACTGCTCCAAAAGAAACGTTCTCAAGTCAGGAGGAACTAAACTGTTGCAAAATGGCTTTATTTCTCCATGTTGGCTTGCTGGATGTACTGAAGTATGTCAGTGTGTGTGTGTGTGTGTGTGTGTTTGTGGATGTGCGTGTGTGGGTGTTTATGTGAGTGTGTAGGCAGTACATGCCTTTCTGGAATATCATCAATGTCCATGCAGGGTCTCCCTGCAGGACATGTGTTGGTTGAGGGGCTGGTTGCATCGAACAAGTTTCAGGAATAAGACATGTTGAGAGTCATGTCCTATTATTTTGTCTAATTGTGTCTGGCGAGTTGAATAATTGCTTTGAGAAGTTCTTTGCTAAAGAAAAAACATCCAGAAATAATATGAAAATGTGTCAAAACTGTCCCACTTGTTTGGGTCAGAGAGAAGCAGCAAACGTGTGCATGGTATTGTTAACTGTTTTACTCACAGCTCCCAGCATGATGCGAACGATGAGCCATCTGAAAGTCCAGATGCAGATGAGGGAGGGGGGACAGCGGCGGGGGACCTGGGACAGAGTCCACACCGGACACAGGAAAATGGCTAGAAATCCGGTCTCCAGCAGCTGACTCTCCCAACCTGGAAAAGTAATCAAAATAATTTGTAAAGAAAACAAAACGAAGGTAAGTTCTTGTAAACTAAGACAATTTGTCACAGGGGAGGAAATGATGCTTGATGATATTAGCTGCACACAGAAGACATATTTTGTGAGGCTATGGGTGGCTTGTAGAGTAAACAGTAACAAACTTGTAACGTAACTGATGAAGACCGTGTTACATGGTCAAAAGCCCCAGAAGACATTACAGGTGTAACTGTCCTCTGTTTTCTGATCTACACTTGGAAACAACTGTTGGAGCTGCACTGCGAGCAACAAGGTGACATTTGCTCCAAAGGAAAGACAGTGAGAGTGAGACAAAAAGAAAAGAAATAAGAGAAACAGAGGCCACAATTGACAAACACAGACATTGGCCTGGTGTCTGTAACACCGAAGCGTCACCAACCAATCACAGAGCTGCACTGATCCTCGCCACTTGTCTTGGCTGGAGCTCAACTACAACCTCCCAATTTATAATTTAATATAATAAGTCTTTCCGTTCCGTCCTCCCCGCTGTTTATTTTTGCGTACATGAGAGGTTATTGGGTTCACTGTGTAAGTAAACACCGTCCTGTCAGTGGCAGCGTTTTAACCACACAGCTGGCTGTAAAATATCTGGGGAACAATCCTGAGAAAATTGGGAGTGTCACTGAGAAGCTTTAGGATTAAGCAGATTCATGCTGTGATGGTGCTGTTTTTTCATAATAAAAATCATACAATGCTTCTTGAATTGAATAAGAAGATAAAACATTTATTTTACACACACACACATCCATATATATATTATATATAATATGTATACTGTGAGTATCTCAGGTAAATACTTAATTTCAAAACCTCTATTAGATGTGGAGGACGAAATGAGGCAGTCCTGTATTCGGGATAAAACTTGAAAAAACTTGACGGAGCACTCGGTGTCGACAGTGAAGTTCACTTACCGAAGGAGTACCTAGTGAGAGGAGAAAACAAAAGAAAGGACACGGCAATATTAAACTACATTTTCTTAAACTAATAAAGAAACAGTCCTCTCGATAATGTTCACATTTACTTACAGCAATTAAAGTAACTTATCATACTGTTTTCCATATAACACAAGTGTTACCTTCTTTAAAATGTGTAGTCAATGTGGGCAGAAGACTTCGCCAAGACAGGTTGAGTGTGGTCAGATATAATGTAACTATGGTCACAGTGTCTGGTATAAATGAGCACTTGTGATGTATTTCTTGATCCAACAAACTAAGGGTTAGAATGGAGTAGCTGGAATTAACTTGACTAACTTGATTAAGTTGACTAAACTGGAGATTATTTGTATTGATTTATTTATATTTTGGCCACTTTGGGGACAAGCATTAAAGTGCCCTTTTCCGCATCTGGCTGTCGGACACAAACAATATAGAGAAACAGCAAAGTTGCAGGCCAGAAGAAGAAAAAGAAAAATGATCCAAAATAGACTACAGTTCCCTTACAATTCCCTCTAATGCTTGTTAGCGTACAAAATGCAAAAGATCACTAGATATCATGGAATTGAAATGGGGTAAATTGCACGTATAGAGTTCTTGTCAATCCTCGTTTATGTTTAATCTGTAATGTGTAATTCCCAAACTCACCACAGCTGCCCCACGCTGACCAGGGAGTGGTAGAGCACCCACAGCGTAACCATGACAACCACGTTGGCCATTCCCGTCACTAGGACGAAGGCAGACAGCGCCATCCCCACCAGGGCAATGCCGTCCAGGTTGCCATCCATGTCGCTCCAGTCCAGCAGCCAGAGGACGGACGGCGTGTAGGCGAAGGCGGCCATGCCTATCCGCCCCCCCACGTAGCGCTTCACGCTGTTGAGGTAGCTCTTGCAGGGCATCAAGCCTCGCTCGCCTATCAGCTGCTTGTTTTGGTTGTACGCGACACTGAACGCCACAACTGCAGAGGGGAGACAGAAAAGGGGCGGGGTCCAAGATCAGCAACAGTCTGAGAACCTGGTTTTACCCATGGAGGGATTTGCATTTGCCCCAACAAGGTGCATTTTCCCCAACAAGGAGGTGATGTTCTCCACCTCACATTGTTAAATCTCGTTGCGAATGCAGGATTTCTGCACTGAAGTTTTACTACTTCACATAAACAAAATGAAAAGTATGTTTAATGGCAAAAGACAATCAACACTTCCATTACCAACTAAATGACCACTCGTAATTGAGTGTCCCCAACGTGTCAAACCCATTCAGAGATGTTTTTGAACGTGCTAAATTGATTATTTACAGCATAGCAGAGCAGTGGGTCAGGTGACAGCTAACGGGACACCGACCTAAGAAGATTGTAAAGAGTCGCGTTAGAGCTTAAAATGAATACAGTCCGCTGCTATTTTAACACCAGCACAAAGGACAACACGAGCAAGCTAACTAACTACGCTAACTAACCAGATTAACTAGTACACTAGCTATGAATAAAACAACATGTTTGACCAGCAGCGCTACAGCGTGCTTACAGTAAATAAAGGCGACGGAGCGCAGCAGCACGATGCGAGTGAGCCAGTGAGTCCCGGTCCGTAACGACTGAGGTGCCGTTTCTTCCTGCGGGTCCTCGGCGCTGTTCGCTGCATCCTGCTCGCTGCTGTCCGCACACTTTGACTGTGTCTTTCTGCCGTCAACACGTCTCCTCCGCACCGAGCTCTCCCAACTGTCAGCGGCGGCCGCCATGTTTACGGGGCGTCATGGTCACGTGACTAATACGGAACTTCTTTATAATACTTATTATACCCTTATTATTGATATTATTAATGTTGTTAATATTGTTGTTAGCATTTATTTGACGTAAAGTAGTTACTGAATAAAGTAATTATAAATTAGTAATACAAATAAAAAAGCACTAATGGAAAAACAGGTTCGTAGGGCTTCCTCTTATTTTGGGAGTATATTTTACAAATAAATAATTTGATCAAAGTAATATTAAGCAGCAGAATTTTAATGTAATTCTTCCTCAAGATGGAGGGAACTCACAGTAGGCCTACGTGTCTATATTCTGCGTAGGCCTACATATTTTTTCGATAATAATTCTAAATACTGACTATAAGGGCTTACTATTTATATAGAAGAATAATGTATGCAATTTATATCTTATGTATTACATTACAGGTAATTTTAGCTGACGCTTTTATCCAAAGACTTACATTACCCTTTAAACCCATTGTCACTGTGTGGTTTTATTTCCTGTCTTATTTTGTAGTTTTCTGCTTCTTGTCTCCCTGGGTAACTTCACTTCCTGCCTTGTCATCGTCTGTGATTGTCTGATTGTTTCCACCTGTGTTGGAGTTTTTGACTATTAAAGTCCTTTTTGTTTCCTTGCGTTTGAGTCCTGCCTTCCTACTCCTCCCTGACACCCATGACTTTTTTGCCCGGTGAGAAATTAGGGGTTAGGTGTCTTGCTCAGTTTTGACTTGAGACATGGCAGCCTGGACTCGAACTAACACTAACCTTGCGGTTCCCAGCGCACCCGCTCTACCCCCTTCGCCACGACGACCCCAGTATATGGATATACACCTAAAAGTGTTTATCTTAAGATAGCCTAAAATGGAAAAGCTCAAGAAAAAAAAATAAATGTCTCTCTAAATGTGGACAAATACAATCCGGGATGAATTGCTATTCGAACCACCATACAATGTTTTAAATTGCAACTGCGTGCAACATTCTGACAAAATAGGAGGAACTGTGGTTGAAAAAGGCCAATGGGACGCGAGGGGCGGAGAGATGCAAGTGGACTAGTAAAAAAAGCACCAAAAGGAAAATCTAAACTGGTCAAAGTTTTCCCAGTTGTGGCAGAGAACGCAGAAGGGAAAAGTTCAAGAAAAGACATTTGGGAAATTACGTAATTTCGGTGGTGAAACGGAGTTCCGATCGGAGCCGTGCGCATTTACGCACTCGGAGAGTTCCTTGGGAGTCCAAGCAACGTTTTACCCGCCAACAATGACAGACGAGAGCATGTCCTTCACAGACCATGCGTGCAGTCCAACAGGCAGCGACAGCTCCGTGTCCCAGCATGGAGCCGATTCGGCGTCCCCGACCGCTCCAGCGGGGTCCGACGCGTGGGATGCAGCGCGCCAGCTCGGGATCGCGCCCAAAAAGGAGGGCAGCGTGGAGGCTGAGCGCTTCCCCGCCTGTATCCGCGACGCGGTGTCGCAAGTGCTGAAGGGCTACGACTGGTCTCTGGTGCCGGTGCACTCTCAAGGGGAGAGAGGACTAAAGAGCAAACCTCGTGTGAAACGGCCGATGAACGCGTTCATGGTGTGGGCGCAGGCGGCGAGGAGGAAGCTGGCGGACCAGTATCCTCACCTGCACAACGCGGAGCTCAGCAAGACGCTGGGCAAACTGTGGCGGTGGGTACACATCTATCTCAGCTTTGACCAAAGGGCAATTGTATTTCATCCAGTTTGAAGAGCACCACTGATGAATACTGGTTTGTCCCCCAGTTACTCTTCGTCCCAAATGGAAATTTTACCTTTTTGGCGGTCATGACTCCTGATAATATTGGATAAGTACAAAGTAAATGTGCTTGTTATTAAGCATTTAAAGGATGCTGCTAATTGACTGGAAATTTGAACAACTGCAATAAACATATAAAAAAGTACTTGTAAATAGTGATGCAGAATTATAAGTTGGTGTGTTTTTGTACAATAAAAAACTATTGCAACTGATGGTGGAAATCAAGTAAGTAACAGTACTCCTGATACATAAAAACTTTTAAAATATACTATATCATACGTTTGCATACTTATTACTGTTTTACATTGTTGTGTAGCATTTTTCTATTTTTATGTATTTTTTGATATACTATTGGGTGGTTTAGTCTACAACAATACATCCAACCTTTATTATCGCAACATCTGTGTTGCGTGTTAGTTCTTGATCTGTAAAGTAATTCTGTTCAATAGTGGAGTAAAGATGAATTAGAAAATAGCACAAAATGTCAAAGTAATATGAAGGATTCTCATTTGGGATTTCCGGTCTGGTACTTTTGAGAATTCCACACAGTGAGCACAGAACATGGCGTCTGTATATATATGCGCTGTATATATATGCGCTTGCTGCTGTTCAAAAGTACCCCCAATCCAATGACCAATGACCTTCTTCCTCAGACTCCTCTCTGAAACCGAGAAGCGCCCCTTCGTTGGGGAGGCAGAGAGGTTGAGGATGCAGCACAAGAAAGACTATCCGGACTACAAGTACCAGCCGCGGAGACGCAAGTCCACCAAGCCCACGGACGCTAGATCCGACCTCCAGGGGGACTGTAGACCCGGACTGGCCCAGCAGCAGCTGCAGCAGGGCTTGTATAAGACAGAACTAGGGGGAGGCAGGCCGGCCAATACGGGGGAAGTGCACCATCATTACCACCCAGACAGGACAGGTTAGATAACTCACAACTGAATACACTTGTTTTAAGTGCATGTGTTACCAGTTATTATTATGTAAGTGCATGAGTATGATATTGATCGGTGCTTCCTTTGGTTTTGGTTTCCAGGTCAGTCTCACGGACCTCCAACGCCACCCACAACCCCTAAAACGGACCCTCACATGGGGAACAAACACGGGGACAGCAGCGCCGGCTCCGCCCCCCCCATTGGGCGGCAAAACATTGACTTCAGCAACTTGGACATCTCCGAGCTCAGCACCGACGTCATCGCCGCCATTGGCGGATTCGACGTCCACGAGTTCGACCAGTACCTGCCCCCCAACAGCCACGGCCCCGCTCTTTTGACCCCGCCAGACGGCGGCCAGGCCCACGGCAACCCCGCCGGGCCCTCCACGCTGCTGCCCGGCATCCACTCTCACTGCCACAGCGCCCCTGCTTGGACGGCCAAGGGCGGAACGCCGCCATCCAGTCGCGACGGCCGTGGGCTCCACGAGGACGCTGGTCAAAAACGTCAGATTAAAACTGAGCAGATGAGCCCGGGTCACTGCAGCAGCTCATCCTCCTCCACCCCGCCGCCGCCCAAGTACTTGTCCCTCGGCTCCTCCTCCACTTCTCCCTGCTCATCCTCCGCCAGCCAAGCTGACTACACCGACCTCCAAAGCTCCGGTAGGTACCACGCCCTCTCCGGGTACCCTGCCCAGCCTGTATCAGTACCCGTACTTTCACTCCTCTCGCAGGCCCTATTCCACACCCCCTATCAACAGCCTGGGCCTTGGGGCCACCTCCACACAGTCCTCCCCCCGGCTGGGAGCAGCCCATCTACACAGCACTGAGCCGGCCTTGAAGAAGAGGAAACTACCCCCCCCCACCCACCCTATTTCAAACAGAAAAACCCATTAATGACTTTCGGAGCGAGGCCGAACAGTAGCCAGCTTTAATGATTTTTGAGAGATTCAACAACTTAAAAGAGTTCGTTCCGGAGGTTTTAAATAGGGATTTCTAAAGGAATCCGCTGATATCTATCTGCCAGAGCTCATTTTCTCCATCAATATAAGTAGTTACATTTGCTCATTTCCATGGAAACAAAAACACAAGATAAAAAAAACATTCTCTTTTGTGAGTGTAAAGGACTATGAGGTCTATGAGGGCGAAGCTCAAACCTGCACTGGACACGAAAAGATTCCACTTGAACTCCACACTAATGAGATTTCGGTGTGTGAGCAGCACCTATTTAAGACGGGCCGTTTCACGTTTAATAGCAGTTTTTTCCACGGAAAAAACATAGTCGTTTCTTTACCCTCACCTTCATTCATGGGGTTCAGAGTCAAAAGTGTTACATTGCAACTGAATCCAAAGGTGTTTCTTGTCTTTTTCCCTTTTTTGGGGCAGAATTATATAAAGGCTCTGCATTGTTCTGTGAGGATTTCCAAGAGATACAAGCCAAGAGTTTGTTCTTCTAAATAATCTGATTAAAAAAAGTAGTAACTTTGAAAATGTCATATACGTTTTTGTGCCAATATTTCGATGGGAAAATTGATAGCACTCTCATGTCTGCTCACTGAATACTTCATATGATCAAAGATCTACCACTTCTGTAACCAGGAGAAGCAGCATCACCATGCTCCATATTGGGATCACATGCTTGCATGTTATAGCGTAAAAACGTGTCGATCTCAACATTACACAGTGCTAAAATAAAGGAATGCAAGAGGCAGCACTCGGCGGACAGCAGGCGTTTCGGATCGGATGTTCTTGCTCCTGCTGCCGACCCGTCCCTCTCTCCTGCTGCACTAACAGTTGCTTTCCAATCCAGCAGCTGCTCCCGCTGCGTTTCCTGTGCGGAGATTAGCTGATTTCACAGTCCCGGCCCGGGTCGGGGGTGTCGGCGGCAGGGCCTGATGGACGGGACAGCTGGATTGGGATTTTTCACGCATTGTAGCGCGGAAATGCTCGGTTGATTTATGACACATAGAAAGGAGTGTACTTGTATGGACAAATCCTATCTGACTTGTGTGTGTTTTAAAATTGATCCTCTGGGGTCACAGCTCGAACACATCACAGTAAAGTGTAATCCCCAAATGCTTCGAACATAGAAATCCAAGAAAAAAAGGAAATAAAGCGGAGCAGCATCTTTAGCTGCTCTTAATAATTATTGTCTTCAGGACAAACAAGGTGGCTGCTGAGCCGACTTCCCCTGCCGACCTTTTAACCACTTCCTGTGTTGGTCCCCGCTGGCCTGCATCAGCTCAGTGGCTCTCTGTCCGAGCGGTGCACGGCGGCGACCTGGCTCGCCAACGACAACAAGGAGGGCCAGACGGAGGCATTGAGTTTACCCTGCAGTTCTGCAGGGGCCCCTGGAAGCCAGCATGTGGAAGGGTGTGTCAGAGTGGCGAGATCATCGGGCGACATTTACAGCGCCAGTCCAGTTCACGCTGGGTACACACGGTGATCTCTTTTAGCAGGTGACTGATGGGCGCCATCTACGGGGACAGAAAGTAAGTGAACACTGGCGTGGAAGCACGTCGTGCAATGAGGGCCTCAGCATTGCTTTGTCTTTTCTAAAATAAATAATGAAAATAGTTTAACTTGTTGGGGATTACACCTATATTGAATGTTATATAGGTTTATTAGTCAATCAATCGAAGCCTTATTGCTATTGCTTCTTTAAAAGACAACCTACTTACACACAGTAGAGCATAAAACAAGAACCTGCTGGCTTCAGAGAGAAATGATCTTACCAGACCTGCTCCTCATCTCTGCTTCCAGCATTTCACACCTGATCCTCTGTCTTTGGATGAGTTGCCTTGTGGGTAATGCGGGTTCCAGGCTTTTGGCAAGGAAGCATGTGTGGAAAAGACGGATGACCTCTCCGATTTTGCTGCGTCAGTTCAAATATGCATTCATTTTTATTGCTAGTCCGACAATGTTTTAGGAGCGCAATCATTGTAGCACAACTTAATGCAGAGATTGACAGGGAATTCAACCACACCGGACCAAAGTGCCAAAATAATCCTGTCACCTGTCTTCAGTATTGTCCAATGAGTGAGCTCCCAAAGGAAACATTAAGAAAATCCTCTGCTGGATAAATGGCCGGAACTACTTTCAGTATCCGCTTTAAAAGGATCATTTGCAATTATTTCAACTAGTTAGTTAATAATTAGTTTAACTAAATGAAATGCTGTAGTGTTCAAATGAACTCAGCCGAACATTTGAAAATTAGATCCAAATTGTAATTAACCCGAATAAAAAAAATCAAAACACTAGATGCCTCTTTATTTCAGATTCATCTGTATTCATTTTAAGATGTTCATGATGAAACAAACTCCCACTGTGATCAGAGTCAACACAACAATGTGTCTTTAAAACAAGATCCACAATGCAAATAAAAACAGTTGTATAGTTGAAGTGTTGTATAAATTACAATCCTGACACATTACAATCCTCTAAAGTAGCGATAACTGTCGACGAGAGAACAGCTGTCAGATTGAGGTCGCTGAAGAACCCCGTTTGGATGCAGATCAGCCACCTCCAGCTACGTCGACAGCTACGGTGATCACTCGGAGTTTGTTTGTGTGTGTGTGTTTAATGCATATTTGTTGTTAACAGCACTTTGTAGATTTCAGGTTTAACAGGGTCTCAGTGCCAGAGGTTCAACCTCACAGCGTCCTCAACGATAAACATCACGACTCCACCCGCACGCACACATAACGCCACTGTCATCAAAACTGTACATTCAATCAATCAACAATGCATTGTCTTTGTTAAGCGACCAGTGAAATGACTCTAGATTACATAATTACAATAGGTTACAGGGAAAGGGGTCCACAAGGCAGATGAAAGGTAGGTGTGATGGTGTATAGCACAAAGTTTGGTAGGCGCAATCGTGATGACATCGTCGACCCTTTGGCTCCACGTTCCCGACGTTTCAGCCCCTCCATGGGCCCTCGGCCCCCGTTAGAGTTCAACTTCTCCACACACAGATGGGTTCGAGCCCCTCTGTCTCTGTCTCTCGTCCCCTCCCTCCTCCTGTCCGTCCCAGTGAACCCCACCCCACCCCCCGCCCCCTCCAGCCATGGCGTCCGCTGACACACTGGGGTTGTCTCTGATCTGAATGAGACTGGGCCGGTCCGGCTGAGTCGTGGCGTCCCGCCGTCTTCAAGGCTTGTGTTTGAAATGGGCCTCCACTGCAGAGAAACAGAACAACGCCGTCGTCAGCGAGAGCCAGAGCGGTCCAAGCGTTCTCCTTATTTCCCCCCATGCTAATAAACTTTATATTCTCACGTGTGATAATGACTTCTGTTTAAATAGCACAGGACGAGCTACTGGACATACTACATGTTAATGCATGATACATAACTTTAATAACTAAAGAAAACCTCGGCTTCCCTTGTGCAAAGAAATACATTCAGTACGCTAATGTCCCGCACCTGCGTATTCCTGCGGCCTCATTGGTCGATTGATGACCCGCTGGAAGGCGGCTATCCAATCCCGTTGCTCGGCTTCGGTCTCGCAGGCGAACAGGAACTTCCGGTCCGGCGTGACGATGGTGATGCCGTGGTTCCAATGGTGGCCCTGGGTGGAAGAGGGTAAGCCGGACAGGACGGTGTAGCTGTTCTCCTTACTGCCGATGAAGACCTCGCCGCGGGCGTAGGCGTCCTGGGAGACAGGCGGAGAGAGTGAAGGGGACGTCCTGTGGACGGACTAGGCGACGGGGCAGGAGGCGTCTTACCAGAGGGTCTTTGAAGTACATGAGCCTCCTGTCGTCCATAGTGAACCACCTCTTCTTGAAGCCCTCGGTGTGCTGCGGCAGAGCGACAGAGACATTCAGCGGTGAACCAGCCGTTACGGCACTGCACAGGAACAATGACAACATATCCATACTTCCAGCTTTTTGTTAAAGTGTGGGTGGTTGCCAAGTACGGTTTTCAGCTGGTGTTTTTTTTTCTATTATTCCTTTTGAAAAGAGAAACTCTCATCATAAATGGTTTTGTCATGCCTGATCTTTAACTCAAAGCATGTCGTATGAAATCGGCAGTGAAGATCAACTGGATTCAGGTTATGTAAGCAGTAAATGGGAACTCAAATTTGAGTTGATATTAATAAATGTATTGTTTTTAGGTTATGCTAAAGTTTAATGTGTAGTATCATGCAATGGTTTACAAACTAGGCGCAATCATAAGATTAATTGGAGGCTTTTGTACTAATTCATAATTTTCCTAACTAATCCCAAAACTTTGCATTTGTTTGAGTAAAATACCAGATTATTGTACAAGCCTTAGCAGCTCAAATAACTACATCAACAATGCACAAACCTTTGGACCTGTTTTCTCCATAAATCCTTCCTTCATGAAGTTACGGGTCAGTTTGGGCACCAGCTGGAGGGGAAGAGACAACGGGCGTGAAGGATCGTAGGAAATAAAAGCATGCGTTTACTAGTAACATGTGATGTGATGTTCTTGGTTTGGTAATGCGTGCTGGATCACCTTTAACAATTACTTTCCTTCACAACCATTTCTCACCTCCTCGTCACTCGCTCCAGGAAAGGCAACCTGTAGGTAATGGAACCTTGCCGCCCTGATAGCGTTGAACCAGTCGACCATCTCCTGCAGGAAACAAAACAAGCCCCCTCAGTGGCGATTTGTCATGCTTGAGCAGTTTTGATCCACAGCCTCCACTTTGGGCTCAGGTGATGTAAGACGTCACTGCTGTTTTCTGCCGTGACAGTGAAGGGGGCAGCGAGGTGCAGTCAGAGGCATCTGTGGCACGTGGATGATGCAGAAGCTGTTGATAACTCCACAACAGAACAAGAGGCACAGTGACACCGAACAAACTCAGTGAACTCGCCCCGTCACAACCTGCAGTCACACTCCTCCGCCAGCAGGGGGAGCAGCGCTGCTTCTGTCTCAGGCTCCAACTGCTCTCTTTATTTGCTCTCTCAAGTCAAACCCTCTGTCTCTCTCCAAAAATAAAATAATCATTTTTGCTAGTTGCAAGTTGGAGCATAGGCTCTGAAAATCCAATTCCCCTTTCATTCCCCCGAAATGATTCTTTGCGGGAAATGATGTGATGCAAAGGTGTTCACAAATAATTCAAAGGTTGGCTTCTGACCCTCCAAATGAAACAACGTCAGAATACTTTGTAGTTCAGTCAGCTTGGTACGTGGGCTCTAACCCCATCCATGCTCCAGGGGGGACTGAGCTGAGCACAGCAGGGAGTGGGAAGTGATGACGGCAACCCCCCCCCCCTCCTCTGGGGTTTTCATGATTAAATTCAAATCCATTTAACCAAAACAAAAGCCAGAATAATGAAAGAAAGCAGACGTTTCTACCCACGTAGACGTCAATAAGCAGGACTGCGACACATTTCCTATATGTAATAGGCTTCGATCTTTGAAATGGATCAAGGCCAATGAAGGTCAATGTGGCAAAGCAGTGTTTAAAGGGCGTACCTTAGCATCACTGTGGTAGACAAAGATGTTCCTTGTGCTGTTGTCTTTCAAGTAGGTGATCTGGAGGCCGCAGGGGTTGCCAATCTTGGCCGGTTGGAAGGTGGCGTTGAGGGTCTCGATTTTCATCAGCGCTTTGGGATCCCTGGCCTACGCAGAGGGGGACAAGGACAACCAATAAACAACAACCACCCACTTGTTTTCCTTCATTTTTAAACACCTTTAAAAATCAGCTGAATCACCTCACTTACATCCTGCTTGTTGAAGTACTTCAGCGCCCCCTCCCTCTCTGACAGGATGAACTTTCGGCTGAGAAACTGACCGTTGTCTCGTCCTCGTTTCCATAGAAACCCGTCTCTGTACCCTGGGAAGAGAGTGAGGGAAAAAAACAAAAAGGTGTTTGAGGTTTGGAGGCTTTTTAATCAAAAGGAACATCGGAGAAGAGCTTGAACAACGGTGAGATGTTGTGATTGGTTTGTGGTTGAATGAAACCTCAGCTAAGCAGAAATCAAATATAATTTGCAACTGCATTCAAAATAGGGGGGAGAACAAGAGAAAATGCCAAACAGATAAGAGAGGGGCAACTTTAGCAGGAAATGAGACAGCAAAACAGAGAGATTTTATTTGCCTCCAAAGACCAAAGAACATCAATTTTTCTCTTTTTTCCCAAGTTAATGAGACACTGTTCTATTCACAGCCTTCAATGCCGTCTATTTTTGGTAACAAGCTCCGCCCACACTGCCTCCTTTTCTGTCTTTTATCTTTTTCTGACGTGTGTTTTTTCTAATCTGGATCTATTTTGTTGGCCTAAGTGGGAGATGCCTCGGTATAATCATGGGGCCGATTTATATTCTAGCCATGTGACTGGTGATTGAACCCCGGTTATCCAGAGGGATTTATGATGAGAACATATTTCAGAAAAAAAAATTGAAATGTTTTCTTGAAACAGCAGAGAATAAAAAAAAAGAATAGTATGTTTTGAAGATATATGTGAATGTATGTGTGTATAAAAAAGAAAGCAATGGAAAAAATGTTAAATAACAGGATCTTACAAGTATCCTAATCTAATCCTTAACACACTGCTTCTTTCCTTTTCTGCGACATTCTCCATATTAAATGCCCACTGACATTGACTCCCCCTCCCCTGTCTTCTCGCCCTATGCGTTCCACTATATTCATGTGTGTGTGTGCGTGTGTGTCTTTGCGGCTGTGATGTACTAACATGAAACATTCACCGAGGTACATTGGCATTGCCTCATCAATCAATAGCCCTCCTTGTCCCCACCCTTGGCTCCTTCCCTGACACATTTTCTTCATCCTATCCTTTGCATACTGGATCAATATCAACATTGGCCGCTGTGGAGGCCACGTTACTGCCAACGGTCAATCCCACACACACGCACACACGCACAAACACAAACACAGTAGCAACCAAACACACACATCCCTGTGTGATAATGAAAGTGCCACTGCTTTTGCAAACATATACACACTCACTTACAAAACCATAGAAGTAAAATAACGTTTGAAAGTCAGCGATGGACGTTTCAGGGTAGATTCATTGCAGCTCGCTGCATCCGCTGGGAAATGTTTGTCCGAGAGTTTTTCAAGGTTCTGTTTAGCGAACTGTTAAAAACGCCTGATCGACAACAAGCCGTCCATTTTTCATCCTTTTCCAAATCAACCTGGTGCACCAGTGGGCTTGAGCATGGATTCGTTTCATAGTGTTTTCACATTGGGGTGACCAAGTCGTTTCAACACACAGCTCATGAGGGTCTTCACAGATATAGTAAGGAAAAAGGTACCTGCAGAGTAAGGCTCCTGTTTTTCGATAAACTCAAACTCATTCCTCTCGTATTTGGCTCTTATCCACTGCTCTCTCAGCATCCTGGAGACCGAGGAAAAGAAAAGGCCCACACAGTTAGCGTTCAGTAATTGTCCTACAGACATTTTAATGTTTTTTTCTTCGCATAAATAGAGCGAGAGAGGTACTCCCTTGCCTTTAAGTCAGTTATTGTTATATTTGCTCATAATACATAATATTGTGTATCCCGTCTGTATAGACATTGACGGGTTCAGTATCACAGACTCCAATGGCTCTTTCATGGAGCCGACATAACTGAATAGCATTTGATACTTTCGGAGTACCTTCTGCGTAATATTGTATATTATTATTATTATTGTTATATAATTGTAGGAGTACAAATGTGACAAGTCTCATTTACAAATTCCTATTTATTGCATTTTTTAGGCAAATACAAAGAACGAGCCAAGATGCAATCCCCCTTAATCACGTATACATAATGTATTATATTAAAAGAATTTGTTTGAGATTTCGGGAAATACATTTTTTGCGAGTGAGATAACCAGATTAATCCTGCGCCACCACATCTAACCTCTCTGGTTTAGTGTCTGCTCAACATTCCACACACATACATATACTGCATATATTCTATATATTTTCTTATTGATTATTACAATGATAGAGCAGTTAATCAATTTACAATACAGCCTACAATGGAAGCCACCTCACTCTTCATTTGAGTGTGAGGAGAAACAAACGGCAACACATGGCATATCACCATGCCAACAACCTCTCTCATCCTGTTTCTGACTCGACCTTTCAGTCTCCACTTCAAGCTCTAAACAACCATTCCATCAACGCTTTGAGTGACACCTTCTGGTGACACTGGATCAGAACTAAAACCTCCTGATATCCCCTTCAGGGGAGTTGAGTGAGTGAACACGAAGAGACATCTAGGCATAGACACTGAGGAAGAAGACGCCACTTTCTTTGTTCTGTTTGTGTCTCTTTGAATCAGGTTCTGTTGAAAGGAAGGCGGACACATGAGAGAGATGGATAGACGAGGCCAAAATGTCCAAGACAATCTGTGTCACTACCGCAGCTCACACAACCAAAGGGCACGAGGTAGGAAAGGATTGAGTTAGTTTGTTGTGCTAGTCGGCGCCTTCCGAAACAGAAACTGTGATTCAATTACAAAACAATAAAAAGTGATATATATATTTAAGAGATATACACACACTATAGAGAGAGAGAGGTGAAACTGTTTAATATATCTTCGTTAACAATAACCCGCTGCACAGCATGGCGTACATCGCCTTAGCACTAATCAGCATGCAGCTGAGCCTCCTCTTGAGAGGGGAGCTCGACAAGGGCCAATTATATAGGTAAATGGGACTTCAAATGTGCTCCTAACAATATTTGGTATGAAATAAATCAAATGAGTATTAACATGCCCATGGGTAACCCAACTCTGTAGCATGGATGTTAAACAGAAAGAACTGGATACTGGACTCAAAGATGTCGGCCAGTCAACTGACTGAAAAATAAACTTTGAATACAGACGCACAACGACACAAACAGACATCTCTTTCAAAGTGGTGGTCATTGTTACGGTCATATCAAGTTCTCTTTATATATTTAACTTTGTTGTAGTACAAGAGCACAGGTGTTACTAATAACGTGAATGGCGGTTCCCTTCCCTTCATGCATCATTCATAGTACTGCTTACACCTGTGCTTTTCATGTGAAATAAAGGTCAAGATGTCTTTCATTAAAAACGGCACTCATGCAGACAATAACAACCAAATCCCGTCTCTCTTTACTATTTAAAGAGGGAACAGTTAAGATATAAATATCAAAATATAATATAAAATATAAGTCAAGTCACCTTTGATATTCTGTCAAATAAAGGTTAAATGACACATTATACTGGTGCCATTATCGAAGCTCAGTAGAGAACTGCAGTTAGCAGTAGCAGAGGTTGTCAGCAGAGGGTTAAATGTTGGCTAACTAGCAAGTAGGCTAATGTTGTTAGCACATATTCCTCCTTTTCAGACAGCAGCTCGTAGAGTTTTCATACTGGCTGTGGCTGTTGGTGTTTGAAAGTCCCCAGAGAGAGAGAACTAGCACTTACTTGCAGTCAGAGTGTGTTGGTCTGTAGTAGAAAGCAGGAACCGTCTGCTCGTACTTGGCCTTGGCTGCATTGTTTCCTGTAGTAGCCATCAACTGAAAAGGGGACAGAAACATTGTAATTTAACATTAAATACTGTTTAAAGTGGTATTATTCACCTTATTAGAGAATATAAAGTAGATTCCACAATACAGCATTTATTATATCCAGGACCAACTAGATGTTCACCAGAACACAGTTTAGATTTTATTCTAAAAAAAGTGTCTATCATACCAGCCGTAACAGTTTTTACTGGAGATTGACTCCAAATATATAATAGTTCAAATAAAACTAGATGTTTTCTAAATAAAATTGGATGAAACAAAAGCAACATCTTTGCTGCTTTAGGACGTTATAACAAAAGTGATAATATTCAAAATATCAACACTACAACAACATCTTCAGAAGCAGGATTAATGAATTGGCTACATGGCATGTCTACGCTCTTCCCTCGTACTACCTACAACGTTTCATCCAGAGATAATCCGTGAGCCCATCCCTCAACACACCTCACACCCCACCTTTTTTCCTGACCCTGCAATCCAATCCAGTTGTCCAATCAACTAGGACTGTTTTCATATTTAAAACAGGCACCACTCCAATGTATTGCTCTTACATTTGAATCTTGCTCTCTTTTCAACCACCTTTTAAAATCACACTCACTGTCCGCTTTTGTCTCCAACTTCTGTTTTTTAAAACCATGACTCATGCCAGCATCACCTCCCCCACGTCCTTTTTGTCACCAAGTGGTGGTGTTAAACCGCTACCACGATTCACTGCGGGGACCACTTCGCTCACTTCACAAGCAACATTTTGGGCTACGGTCTTACGGATTTGCTCACAGAGCTTGTGTTTTGTGCTGATTTCTGAAGGGGGCATCTTTGCCAGGTACACAACAGCTTTAGCTTTTTTTTGTACACACCGAAAGAAAGTGTCTGACTCATGTAACGGTGCTTCATTGAACCCTGTGAGGGAAACCTCTCCTCCCAAAGGTTGTCAGCTGAAGAGCAAGGTGTGAAGCACATTTCTTGGTCATTCGTATTGGGTATAATAAGTCAAATTAGATTCTTCTATTCTTTGTTGTAACCAATTGTTGTCCAGTTTTATAAAAAACATGAGTCAACATGAAACCACTCCGGCTTTAAATCACATGTTTCCTCATCCTGCTTTATTTTCATATTGTTAAGAAAATGCACCCTGACTAGTTTGTTTCCATGGAAACGAAAAAATAATACTTCAGCTTACGACTGTAACCATTGAGTCCATACTTGGTTTTCTTTTCGTACTACCAGGCTCTTGAGCTGACAGGAAGCCAAACACCAACTACCACTGTTACTAGCTGAGAAATCACAATTTACCAAGCCGGAAAAATGTCATCAAACTAAAGACGTGTGCATTGTGTATAAGAGGCAATCTGCGAACAAGTTCAAGTTTTTTTTATGTACAATATTGCTTTTTCAGTTGTATTTCTGAATCTATTTCATTCATATTTTGTAGCTTCCATCTGGCAGTTACAGGAATGTTCATTCATGTCCACTCTAACATTTAAGATTAAATGAATAAAATATTCTAAAATAAAATTCCGTCATTAATATGCAATCTTGAACGTGTTGGAATTAGAATCCAAACATAATGCAGATTTAACTATTTTGACTAATTTAACTAAATGATTATATTGGCCCTTGCAACAACTGCTCATCATCAACATTTTGGAAGATATAATATGAGACTCTTAAACTGTGCACAGTCTATGGTCTTTAACCGATCAAGCACAAAAACCTTTGTTTGTAATGAAGAAACAGGATATAATGTGTTATCGGCTGTTTTACTTGAGATTTATAATGCCTTAAGCACACTAGATTTGGACAAAGAGAAGGGGAATCTCCCTTTCATTTAAGCCGATTTTTGGGATGCGAGCACGATGCACGTTTGCTACCACTGCCCTACCTCGACCTCGCTGGCGTCCCACGTGTCCTGTACAGACTTGACCCTGCTGATGTGGGGGATGCTCCGGTGAAGGAGCGAGCAGGCCTGGCAAACAAACACACCCAATGTCAGCGACGCCCAGTCCGGCTCTGCAGGGGAGAGAGAGAGAGAGAGAGAGAGAGAGAGAGAGAGAGAGAGAGAGAGAGAGAGAGAGAGAGAGAGGCCGTCGAAGCAGGGAGGTGAAGGGGAGGGGGAGTGAGGTGAGCGAGAAACAGAGGAGGAAATTAGGTGGGACAAAAGGACGACAGAAAGGGCGGCGGTGGGGTTGAAAGAGATAAAAGAGGAGGGGTAAGAAAATCTTGTCATAAAAGCGCCGCAACAAAGAGAGTAATAAAAGGGAGCAGGACACCGAAATGGGATTCTGGGGAAATCCTTTTTAGTTTACTGGCAGCATGAGATCTGATCAAAACTCAGCCGAGTTATCAGGTTATCAGGTTAGTTACATCACCAGAACTGCAGACAGGCTCACAGTTGTGTGTCCAATTGGCCATGCAATATTTTGAAAAGGAAGCAATGGAAAAGGACAAACATGCTGGAAATGCACACACACAACATGTGCTTTCTGCCAACTTGAGCATGTAACTAAACAAACACTTTGACTGCAGCTCTACAGCTTCATCAGCAATAGACAAAAAAACAAGGATGAACGTCTTGGTAGAGGTGGTTCTAGTTTAATTTAGCTTACATCTCTACTGTTTATCAAAGAAAAATGAAAACAAACACACAACATATACATACAAAAGAAAAAGAACAGATCAAAAGTTCAGAACCAGAGCATTCTCTCTGACTGAACACAGAACATCTCTAACCTACATGTCTAATGTAACAGGTAACAGGCCCGTCTGCAGCTCCTGCAGCAAGGCTGCAAGTGAACAAACAGGAGGATGGGGAACAGGCTGTTTTATACAGCTTCATGAGGTCAGATATCGGTATATGTTGACCCCCTGCTTTGGGTCGGATTAAAATATCTCAACCACTGTCGGATGTGTCGGCACGACATTTAGCAGAAGTCAAAGTTTTCACTTATCTGTCTCAACGAAAGGAAGCAGAGCCTGCAGAGCTGCTAGCCCCGCTATACGCCTTCGCTCAATAAATCATGATCGATTGATCGATAAGCAAAACTGTTGATGATACATTTGAGTTGCTTCAGCAAAAAAGTATTTTGGTTCTATAGTTTGCAAGCGTAGCATTCATTAGAGCCTTGTCAGTAAGGCCTAGAGGATGAGCTATTGTTGTAGGCCTTGCTTCATACGATAGTTTGTATGATATGTTATGGAGAAAATTAGACAGACACACACAGTCTTTTCAAAATGAACATCTGTCCTCACAGGAAACTACTTAGTTTCACATTCAACTTTGAAAGGCTCAAATCTGACTTGGTCTTATATGCTACCGTATCAGGCAGACTCCATCCACCATGTTTGAATATGTGCCCCTGTGTTTTTTAGCACGTGTTGGCATGTACTGCGTATGCGTGGCTCAAGGGGCCGAGGGCAGCGCGTCCTCAACGGGCAGCACTCAGAAGTCACCATATTGTCTCTCCTCCTCAATTTCTCTCTGCATCTGTCCTTCCTCACACACGGAGGGCCTCCTTAGCACGGTGCACCACAGCCATGTGAGTACATGAGCAGAGAGAGTGAGTGTGATACTCATGGGGATCTCCTCATTTGAGAGTCAAAGGAGAGAGGGAGAGCAGGTGGGGGCAACAGAACTCTGCGTTTCTCTGTCCTCTGGAGGCTGGAGATGGAGAATGGAGAGCGGCAGCGGTGATGAGGAGTTGAGGAGGAGAAGTAGGAGCCATGGAGGAGGGAGAAGGGAGAAGGAGGAAGAGTATGGGTTCATCGTGTGGAGAGATGATGTGAGTGCACAAGATCCCCCTGGGGCCGTTGCTGGCATCCACAATACGCTTTCTTTGATTTATCTTTCTTAATCCATGACAACTGCTAATTATACTTTTTTAATGTAAATGTCAACTCATCTTTTAATCCCTCTGGCTTGCGATCAAGTACAAAGCACAGTAGATGGAGCTTTTATGCGAACAAATCAAACCACTTTTTTTAAGTCCTTACATGTTGCCAGCAACACACACGCACGCAAACACACACCAATGCACACAACCACTGCTGACACAAAAACCCACAACCAGTCATTCGGAGGTGAGGTCATCGTTCTCTGAGTCAGGCCTTATGGAGAAGCAGACAGCACTCATGGAGATTACTGTGGCCGCAATGAATGACTAACAACACACACACACACACACACACACACACACACACACACACACACACACACACACACACAAACCCAGGGTTGCCTCCTCTACATGTTCATTGGAGATGTTTCACATCAGGATTACTGGGAACAACAGATGCACGCTCCTCGTAGTGAACAGGAGCAGGGGAAGTCCTGGTGTGGTGTGACTCCGCTGTTTGTTTGCCGGTGCATATGCTGTTTGTTCAAGAGCTGCTGCTCGGCCTCCGAGGAACTGTAAGGCTCTAACGACTCGTTTGTTGGAGAAACAACAGAGCTTTTGATTCCAACCACACTAGTCTGAAGAAAGAGGGCCCTGTGGCGTTACTGCAGGGCAGATGCGGGATAAATGAATAAAGGAGGGGGGGTTATACAATGGCAACCCCTATGCCTGTGATCATAAGCAGGCACTTTTCTGCACCTACAGCCTTTTCATTTGTGTGTCTGGATGTCTGATTTCTGGTGGGGGTTAATAACCAGACAGTGGGGGCCAGCAGAAGTTGTGACCCCTTATGTCTTGGCTCAACCCCTAAAGGCACTACCACAGGCTTCATGTTTTTCAGCAGCATTGGCTGTTGCAGCAAACCAGGGGGAGGAGCCAAGACAATGCTGCCCAGGGGGCGGCTCCCAAGCATGGAGCAGCAGATTGAGGGGACCAAGGACTAACGTAACAGAGGACACCGCCTCCACCGATGATGGGGAATCTCTAGGGGTGTAACGATTCATTCACTGAATCGATTAATCGATTTATATTCATGCGATCCCACTGAATCGATCTGTGCTCCGCAAATCGGCATTCCGGGCGACATATATTGATTACAAATCGATTGAAATGGTACATAATCGATTGTATCAATACTTGGAAACTGCACATTGGATTAAAGTACAAAAACGGTATGGATGTGTGTTTGTTTTTTAGCACTTTAAACACGTTAAACGTTACTGGATTCAGTCTGCCTGTCTGTGACGTCATCAGTACGCAGCGGCAGCCGCGCGAAACTCGGAACAACAACAAAACACAGCGTGGAGGAGACGACTGCGAGCAAGACATTTTCAAACCAACTTATCGACCCAGCGTGTGGAAACATTTTGGCTTTTGCAAACACAGAGGTGTTCTAAATAAGTCGGTCTTTGTTTGTAGAATATGTAGAAGCCAAATGAAAAACACGGAAACACGACAAATCTTTCCGGCCATCTACTAAGGCGCCGTGGGATTAAACAATGCAGACAGTCAGGCACCTCTAGCAGCGTCACCGCTGCAGCAGCAGCAGCAGGTAACTCCAGCTCTGCAGACACCTCAGGCCTCGTCAGCACCAAACTCAACATCACAGTAACAATTGGCAAGTTTATCTGTAAAGACATGCGACCCTACAATGTGGTTGAAAATTCGGGGTTTTGTAAATTGATCCAAACATTGTGTAATTATTGTGTAATATTTACATTACAAATGGCAGTTGATTCAACTAAAAGGTTAATACATTTGCTATTAATTGTTGTTTGCTTGTTTATAATATCCATAATTAATTTAAACCTGATTTCCTTACAAGAAACAACAGGGATCTCTTTGCCATCAGCCATCTCTTTGCCTGCACTGTCCAGTAAAGTTACTGAATCCATTTCAAGTCACTGAATCGAATCGAATCGTAAATCGTACGATAGGTGCTCAGTGTTGCTAGAAATTTTGAACATCTCTAATCTGGCAACACTGAGCACCTGGCCGCCTCCACTACTTGCATTGTGTACAGCACGTGACATCTGCAGCCACGCCCCCCCCCCCGCGGCACAGATGTCCCCCTTTTTCGGGTTGCCAGATGGGATCGTTGAAGTATCGTACCCAAGGCTCAAAATGGTCGTATTTGGAGGATAATTATCTTGTATCTGGCAACATTGAGATCGACCAATGACTGTTCTCTCTACAGTCAGAGCTCGCGCAAGAAGGTGGAACGTAAGGGAGACACCATTTACAACACTTAAGGGCGGAATAACTAGTTTGTGAAAGACCCAGAGAAACACAAATATCCGACGAAGCAAAATCCCAGACGTCTTTGGAATCCCTGCCGAATGCATTTTTTAGGTCTCAAAAAGAGGACATGTCCGGAGAAAAGAGGACGTCTGGTCACCCTAGCATAACGCAAACCCAGGTAAAACGTTTGACTGCAGTATTTTATGCGTCTTATAATCCGGTGCGCCCTATGTATGAAAAATTTTCTAAAATAGGTCATTCATTGAAGGTGCGCCTTTTAATCCGGTGCGCCGTATAGTGCGGAAAATACGGTACTGTCTCTGTGATTTTATTCTAGAATCTTGCCTCCACGTTCCCCTGGGTTGTCACATTTGGTGGGGAATGTGGGCACGGTGATCCGTCACTTAAAGATTCAGAATGAAATAGGTACACTGAGAGAGACACAAGCAGTGCTACAGTGGACTCATTAGCAAAGCCCGTAGACACGCATACACAGGAGTGAGCGAGGTTGACTGTGAGACCGGTGAGACAACCTTGGAGAACAAAAACCTCTCAGATGTACCATATCAAGCTTTTAAAGAAAGGGCATACCCCTGACAGGGTTTCAATGGCAACCTTAATTGTTGGAATCCCAGACCCTGTCCTTCCACAGGTACCTTAAGCCCTCAGTTAGGCCGGCCCACTGACATCACATGGCGGAACTGAGCAGTCAGTTCAAGGATATGTTTTCCGACCTTCCTGGAAGCACCCATGTGGTTGAACACAACATAATCAACGAGCCAGGAAAGGTGAAGCTTCGACCATATTGCATCGCAAAGGGAAAAAAGGGAGACCAAGATATGGAAAATGGGGTTATTGAGGAGTCCCATAGTGCCT